AATGCGGACTGTATCATGGCGCATGGCGGGTTATACCTCGTGGCCCTGATCGTTTTTGCCGAAACCGGCTTGTTCATCGGCTTCTTCCTGCCGGGCGACTCGCTGCTGTTCATCTCAGGCCTTATTATTGCCAATTCAAAAATTGCTTCTCCTATTGCTGCCGGACCGGTAGATCTTACCTTCTGGATTATATTGATTTCTATTGCCGGTATTGTTGGTAATATGGTTGGTTACTGGTTCGGGCGTAAATCCGGTCCTATCTTATTTGAGCGCCGGGATACCTGGCTCTTTAAGAAAAAGCACCTGATACAGGCCAGGGAGTTTTATGAAAATAAAGGCGGCGGCGCTATTGTATTTGCCCGTTTCCTGCCGATTGTAAGAACCTTTGCACCCATTGTTGCCGGTGTGGTAAATATGGACCGGAAGAAATTCTCTTTCTACAATATCATCGGTTCCTTTGCATGGGTGGCCAGTATGATGCTGGCAGGCTATTGGCTTGGTGGTTATGATGTGGTAAAGAATAACCTGGAAAAAATAGTAATTGGCCTGATACTCGTTACAACGGGGCCTGTCTTGTTTAAAATGTTCTTTGGAAAGAAGAAACATCCTGTACAGGAAGTTGCAGAAGATTTAATGGATAAAAATCCTTAAACGGATATAAAACATTAATTTGTTCCTCATTATGGAACAATCATCAAAGACGATCAGTCTGTTTAGCATTCCTGTTCTGGTAGCAGCACTTGGCTATTTTGTTGATATATATGACCTGTTGCTCTTTACCCAGATCCGGGTAGAAAGCCTTAAATCCATAGGGCTTACGGATGCCCGGGTAAGCGAGGTGAGTACCTCTATCCTCAATTATCAGATGACAGGCTTGCTCATCGGTGGTATTCTCTGGGGTACGCTGGGCGATAAAAAGGGGCGTTTAAGTGTGCTCTTTGGTTCCATCCTTTTGTATTCTCTGGCCAATATTGCCAATGGTTTTGTACAAACGGTGGACCAATACAGCCTTTGCCGTTTTATAGCGGGGATCGGTCTTGCCGGTGAGTTGGGCGCCGGCATTACGCTGGTCAGCGAATTATTACCCAAGGAGAAACGAGGTATTGCTACTTCCATGGTAGCGGGCATTGGCCTTACCGGTGCCGTTGCCGCCTATTTCATTAAACAACAGTTTGCCTGGCAAACCTGCTTTTTTATCGGCGGCGGTTTAGGGCTGATGCTCTTATTGCTGCGCGTATCGGTATTTGAGTCCGGCATGTTTAAGAAAGTGCAGGAGCAAAATGTATCCAAGGGGAATTTCCTGATGTTTTTTACTGATGCAAAGCGTTTCCGCAAATACATCCTTTGCATTTTGGTGGGCCTGCCTACCTGGTATGTGATCGGGGTACTCGTCAATCTTTCCAATGATTTTGGCCTCCATTTCGGGATTGAAGAGAAGATCGATTCTGCCAAAGCTGTTATGTATGCTTATGTGGGCATCTCTATTGGTGATGTCCTGATCGGCTTGTTAAGCCAGC